ACTTGTAACAGCTTAAAAATTTGAACAATTTTTCACTTTTGAAAACCATAAAATATCATTTGTAATCATAAATAAAAACATTGTGTCAACATTGTATCAGTACAAAACCCAAGATCAAAATACATAAACTCCGGTGTACGTGCACATAACACATAACACTGTAAGCATAAATGCGTTGTGAGTTCCCCAATATACCACTCTAACACATAATAGCCACTCGAGGTTGTAATTCTGTTGACCCTCAAGATCTATGTGTCTTAGTGGGGCCCTCCAGCCCCAACTCTCTATGGGCCCTCTGGCCCTAACTCTGTGAACCCGAAGGTCCTAACTCTGTGGACCCGAAGGTCCTAACTCTATAACTCTAAATCATGCATAACACATATCACAATAAATCATAGCACATAAATAACATGCAATTACACTGGCATATAACTCTAAAATACTCTATCACATAACTCTGTTACCACACTAGGTAAAGTATAGTGAGAAGACTCACCTCGGGTATCTCGGTAATCTCTGACTCGGTAACGCTGGTCTAACCTCCGCCTAATCATATAAAATAAATACTCTAATTATTATAACTCTCAAAGGCTAGACTATGTCCTCTTATGACACTCTCAGAAGGGTAAAAGACCATTTTACCCCTCTTACAACTCAAAAGGCCCCACAATAGACCATACCCTAAAAGTCAACCCAAAAGTCAACTTTCCGGGTTACGCTGCGCGTACCAGATGTGTACGCTGAGCGTACCCGGCTGCATCTCAGGATCGGGGAACGCCACCCAGTACGCGCGCGTACTGGGATTACGCCCGGCGTACTCCCCAGCTTCAGCCCTTTAACTCTTTAGGTCTTAAACAGTTAAGACTCACGTCCAAATTCTAGATCCGACCACATCTAAGCCTCTTAATCCATAAAGTTGATGACTTTATGCCTTTGCATGGCTAAACAAGCCACCAACTCCCACAATATTCCATCCTCTAACTCTAGAAGGCTTATTACTCAAGCATGACCTCAAACTAAGACTAAAGATGGAAACTTTATGGCTCTACATCTCTAATAGCACTGAATGGGGATAGATCTCGGACCATGGAGCACTTTACACTCATAAAGTCTCCACCTTTGGGGTTTTTAGCCCTAGCAAAAGCTCATGCAACAAGAAATCAAAAGAAGAGGAAAGTTTTGAACTTTATACCTCTAAGTGTAGTCCCTTGCTCTGTAGATCTCAGATCCAAAATGGCACCTCCAGCTTTAGCTTCCAGGAACTCCTTTCCTTCTTCTTCACTAAGTCACCAAAGCACAATTAGCTCCAATAACACTCACACACACTAAGGACGGTGGGAAGCTCTCTTTTAGGGTTTCACTCACTGATATGGAGGTTGAGAAATGAGCCATAGCACCCTTTAAATAGTGCACAAGACGAATTAAGGTTTTGCACCTGGGCCGGGTACGCCCGGTGTAACTCTGGGTACGCCCAACGTACCTTGGCGATTCGCGTCCATTCTAAGCACACTGGGAAAAAGTCCATATATATACCCATATGGCCCTGTCTTTATCTTCCTTCTCTGGATAAAAATTTCTAAAAAACCTTGAACTACTTCTTCATCAGAATTAATCATTGGGAAAAAGATTAATTGAAGCATAAATAAATAAAACCAAGAAATAAAAAAAAAACATTAAATGATTAGATAAACGAATACGATGTACTTACTTTTAGTAAACCAGATGAGTCACACAGGAAGAGAACACATAAAGAAATGAAATCCTGAAACCAAAAAAATAGAGCTAACATTTACCTTAATTTTTACATTACATTTTGAGATATGGGTGCCTTGTTTAAGAAAGCGGTATCAATTTATCAAATACAACCCTCCTTTTCCATAAATCTCAAGTAGCAAACAAAAACCCCTAATTTATGCAACCAGATGAAATCGAGACAGAGATAGAGGAGAATTACAGATTTACCTTTTTGCATTCACGATGAAATCATAAGAGCACACATCAGGCATCTTCCATAATGGCGGAGGACAAAGCTGGAGTGTGTCACTTGGCACAGTGGCAGGGCGGTTACAGAGTATGTGTTGCTAATTTGGAGGGGGCATGTATTTTCTGGGTTAGTGTTTCTAGGTCAAAAAATGGTGCCTAAGGTTAAAACATCGAAAATAGAAATTAAGGTCAGATGAGAGAACTGGAAAATATGTTAGATGTCATTGGTTGTTAGGGAGAGATGGTGGTGGTGGGGAGAGATGGCGGCGGTGAATGGTGGTGAGATGAAATGTGACGGTGATGAAGGTGATTTGTTTGATGGTAGTGATGGTTATGTGACACCATAGTTTACTTTTGGTGGGTTGCGATGTTTGATATAAGGGGTTTTAAAGGAAAGATGCGAGAGAAGAGAAAGGCGGAGGCGGAGGCGGCGTTGTTTAACAATGACGTTGATGGTTGCTCCTTAATTTAAAGAGATAAGGTACCGAAATTTGGGTATTGACCGATTCAATTAATACTACAAATGAGGGAATACAGGTAAATCTTTTGACCAATTCAGGTTGTAGATAGCTTTTGACAAATTCATGTTGCATATAAGTTTGACCGGATAAGATTTAGTATCTTTGCATGCATAAAATCATTGTACATGATGCATTAAGGTTTCTACCTCTTAAAATTCAGCAAAACATGTTAAATGCTTTTTAAGGTATATATATATATATATATATATATATATATATATATTATATATATATATATATATATATATATATATATATATATATATATATATATATATACTAGTTTATAACCCATGGGAATCACGGTTATAAAATTAATTAAAATTTTATAATTATTAATCAATTATTTTAAATAAGTTATTTTAAATAAATTATTAATTAAGAGATATATCAAAATTTTAAAGTTATTATGACTTCAAGTTTAACATATAATTTGAAAATGTAAATTTGAATTTTGAAATAAATTGCCTAATATATGTACATGACACATGACATAATATTAAATGAGAAGTGTATTAGAGTGACACTTGGTAAAAAGAGATTAAAACTATTCATTTATTAGAATAAGGATATATATATATATATATATATATATATATATATATATATATATATATATATATATATATATATATATATATATATATATATATAGTAGGGGAGTCATTTTCTGACCGTTAGACTAGGTTATCAATATATGTATGAGAGATTTTATTCGTCGATTCGGTTATATTTTATTTAATTCGATTTAATCGGTTTTCTTACTTCTAAAATACTAGCCGAAACGGAATCAAATAAGGTTTGGATAAATCCGTTTTAAGGTTATTTTGTTTGGTTCTCAGTTAAATACGAATAACATAAATCAACATTTCAAGTGTACTAAGAAAAAATGATTTGTCCAAAATAACTTAACAAACACGTCTAGACTAATTGTATGTTATAAAATTACGAAGAAAACGTTGAAAACTATAAATGTGCATTATGTATGTATGCACATTTGTGAATATCCGAATTCAAATAAATGTTCATTACAAACAACATTGTTTTTTTTATTATTTTGGTGCGACTGGATTAGAAGATGCATTAGAGATGGTATGATGGTATTAGTTTTAAAAAAAATTGACCGGAGAAAAACTCAAATTCTCATACAAATTTATTTATAAAAAAAACTTTTAATTTTATTCATATTTAATCATTTTTCTTGTATATTATATGTCATATAATTTATTGAAACCGTTCACATTTTACTTTTATAACTTTTAAAAGCTGGTTATAATAGTAAAATATGAACAATTTCAACAATTTTAACAATATATGGTATACGAAAAAATGATTAAATGTGAACAAAAATAATAGATCGTTACTATCTTGAGACAAAAAGGAAAGGATAGTGTTACTTAGGAGAATGAAGAGGGCGATGAAAAGTGGAGGAGTCTCAACCCTCAATTAATGACTATGGTAGAGCTTGGGTGGACTAGAGTTAAGGCATTTACAATGCATTGAACTCCATAGAGTTTAATGGATTGCCACATCATCATTCTTAAAGTCATACAACTTTATTATTATTTTCTCTACAATGTATTGAATTCTACAAAGTTCAATAGAATGTTGCAAAATATAATTTATAGTAAATATTTAAGGATTAAAACTTTCCTTTTTCCCATTGAAGAGTTCAATGACCGTTGAACTCCAAATCCATTGAATGTCAATGTAACATCTCACAATGGTTGAGTTTCATCCATTGAATGACACATGAACTTGCCACCTCATTCAACTCTCACGTTAAACTCACCATTGTGGATGCTCTTAGAGATGGGATGTAGTCTTGATGACGTAGGTGTCATCGCGAAAAACACAAATATCATGAAAAACTAATATAATGTTTCTAGACATGATCTAAGAAACATACAAATCCATGAAAAAAAAAATGTAATTTAGTCTAAAGTTTAAAAAATATATTGACCATTAAAATTAAATAAAAAAACATGTATTAATGTCATGTTTTGTGTTTTAGTCAAATATGATATATATTCTACCAACCAATGTTCATAAATGTCATGTTTTGTGTTTTAGTCAAACATGCATTAATGTCATGTTTTGTGTTTTAGTCAAATATGATATATAGTTGCTGATTTGTACACAACAACTTTTTACGCACACAACAACTTTTTATAAATAAACAATTTTACCCTTTCTTCAATTTTATAATTTACCTCCTCCATATTTACAACTTTTCCTCAATTGTACACTTTACCCCTCCCATTATATAAATATATATTTCTACCTCTCTATCTCTTTATATATATATCAAAATCATAAATGTATAATTTTTTATTATTTTCTAAAGACACTCATTCTTATCTATCATATATTTCTTCTCCTACGAGCCATATATTTATACGTACTAAAAATTGTCAATTTTATCATTTTTTTGTTACGACATATAACTTGATAATAACTTTTAAAATCAAAGACTTAACTATATAATCAAACTTTGTCCAATCAAATTTATTAAACAACCGTTAAACTAAACAAGTATCCACATAAAAAAATATACTATGGTAGGCTTAAAAAGAACATTTGAATCAAGCAACCATGTCAATAAAAAAAATACTATGATGAACTTAAAAAGGACCGTCTAAATCAAATGTATCTAATGGATATACGTTTAAATCAAATAAGTTGTTTTCACCATTTGCTTCATTACGTCTTTGTGAAGATTCTACCAACTCAAATCTTGAAGGATCCCGTGTCGTTGATGTTATTCCTCCTTTCTTTTTTGATTTTGGAGGTCTTCCTTTTGGTCGTTGAACCACCGGTTCAAAAAAGGCATTAGATTGGTTCAGAAGTTCAGTAATCAGCGAAAGTGCATGTTTTTTCTTGTTTAAGGGCCACCTTTGGTACGTTGAGCGCAATTCATTAAGCAGCTCATCAAGTCTACCAGTGTCTTCATCATGCAAATCATTTTGTGAATTTAGCGACAGTGTGTCAATCCTCCATTGCGGATGGATTAAATCCAATGGAAAAGTAGTTCCTTGCCAATATTTTATCTTGTGAGCACATGGAAGACCCATGGTTGCCATATAGTGACCGGTGCAAGGAGTCATACTACCTAAAAATACAAAATAATTAATAAATGTTAGTAAATAATAAAGGTTAACAAACAATAAGAAAGGTAAATATTACCATCTTTCGTAAAACCATATTGCTCATATATCTCCTTTAAGGCAAAGTGAGATACGTGATAATGAAGTTCTCTAAATAATGGCATAGTGCCATCATGATGAACATGAATTTTCTCACTTGAGAGCTTTACTTTAATCTCATTAAATTCATGCTCAACTACAAGACAAATTTTCTCTTTCACCTCCCTCAAATCTCTCGTGGAAACTTGCAAATATTGTTTAAGTTTAGCATGTGCACCTTCAACTCTTGATGACGATCGATTGCCAAAATGCAAGTACTTATCCGTCCAAGCACTAACAAACTTTTCTTTCCAAGGCAACCATACATTTTTTATGTACTCAATTACGTCTTTCTTCTCTTTATGAATTGATGTAAATTCAAACCAGTTTTCCTCAAAAAGAGCTTCCGTTGTCGAATATACAACATTATTCCAATCAGACATAAAAATATAGAACTCCTCGGCACGTCCAAAATATTTCTTGCAATTTGCCAGTACATTTTTTTCAATATGCCAAACACATAAAAGATGTGATGTCGTAGGAAAAACTTTTTTTATGGCATTTATTAACACCAATTCCCTATCTGACATAATCACACACGGATCTTGTCCAATAATCTCTTTAAATGCTCATAATGCCCAAGAATAGTTTTCTTCATCTTCTCTTTCCAAGAAAACAAACCCAGAATAAAAGGCAGTATTAAAACACGAAACACCAATAATATCAAGGAGTGGCATGTTATATTTATTGGTTTTGTAGGTGCAATCCATCAAAAATATGTTGGAGAAAGCTTTAGCCAATTTAATCGACAAAGGGTGTGCAATGAACAAACGAGATATCCGCCCCTCTGCATTATGTGAAATGTCATAAGTAAAACCACCTTCGTCAAGCTCCTCAAATAATGCATTGATCATAGGTCGATTCCTTAAATTTTCCCTTCGGATTTTTCTCTTCACATTGTATATGTTTCTAGAGATTACTGGTATATTTGGGGTTTGTTGACACAAAGAAGAAAGAATTTATCTCGGGGGAATCCCTGCCTTGGTCATTTCTTTAACACTTTTTATGCTTTCCGATGGTAACTGACGAAACGAGGGATGTCCGGAGATGTCCGTAGATGGCTCATGGTTATGTGATAAGTCTTTTACATCAAATATCCAAGCACCATCACTACTCCTTTTGCCCAAAAGCTTAAAAGGACAATTGATCAAACGCGATCCAGTGGTTTTTTTTCGTTTACCTGAAATACCTCGTATATCTCGATATAAACCACATCTGTCACATTGCAAAATCACATGTTTGTCTTTTCTTGAACCACGAATAGATATCCCATATCCTTTAGAATAATAAAATTCTCGAACACTCTTCAATAAATCATCACACGAGTCAAATTTCGAAGTAGTTAAATAAACATTTTCACTCAGTGGCATTGATGGAGTTGATTCCATTGAAATTGTCTATTACATAATCACACACAAATTAAGAAATTCATTACAAATAATAGTGATAAACAAAAAAATATAGTTTGATGAAATTAACTTAAAAATTTAACATTAGCGTGTTAAGTGACTAGATGACTAGGTAAGCTTTACATTTATATTCTTCAATAGCATGGATTTTTGGGCTTACAGTCAAGACAAATAGCAAAGTATTTGATGTATTTGATGAAATTAGTAGAAAGGTAAACAGAATATTCATTGATTTTTTGGATGAATAGCGTTTAAAGATATTTACTCTTATTAATATAAGCATTATGTAGTGTAACTAAGGGAGAAAAATTGATTTTTTCAATACAAACAACAAACAGTGGTTTTGATCTTTTTCAACGGTTTTAATCTTTTTCAATCTCAAATTACAAACTATAATTGAATATACAAACTAGAATTGAAAATAGAATCATAATAGTAGCAACGATACAAAAATCACAATACTAATAATTCAATATAAAATCACAAATCAATTAATGGAAGAAATACAATCACAATATAAAATCACAAACCAAAAAATAAAGGATAAAAGTGACCTGAGTGGGGCAGCCGGCTATGGCGGTGAAGCAAACCTAAGATGCAAGTTACCAATGATCGCCGTTGAGAAGCGTAGACTCGTTTTTGTGTTTGTATATTGGGAAGGGTTTTAAGATGGGAGGGGGTAGATTGTAAAGTTTATTAAAATAGAGGAAAGGGTAAAATTGTTTATTTATAAAAAATTGTTGTGTGCAGTAAAAAGCTGTTGTGTACGAATCAGCTCCCTTACACAAATAAACCAATGAGAATACGCTGACAATCATCTAAATAAAAAAGTGGAGATTTGAGTAATCATGCCATTATTGCACAAAGTGAAAGCTTCCATCTAGATTCATTTTTGTACATTTGGAAACTATCGATGATGTCGTTGGAAAATTTTGAAAATAAAGATACTTGAGGTGTTTCCTTGATGTTTTTTGCAACTAACATGCCTAATTAAGACGACACAAATGGCGAGTTTTGTACAAGGGAAGGGAGGTGATTCTTCCACATTGAATTTTAATCCATCCACTGAAAATTTAACAAAGCCAAATCGTATTGTTTTGAAAATTAATTCCCAAAAACTAGTAAATGTTATAAAATATGATCAAATAACAATATAAATTATAAAGTAAAGAAAGACATGAGAGTGGAGAGAACTTTTATTCTAATAGTTGTGATGAAATCATCAAGTGTCTAAACATATGGCTCACTATTTATACTATCCAAATAAGATGAAAGATGACCTATAATATGAATGCACATTATGATGGTGTATTATTACATTCATAAAACACATTGAAATGGTTGTTACTAATGCTAAATAATGATGGGGAGTTATGGGAGAAATGAAGAATCCAATGGTCATTCACAAACTAATATTTCATAACACTCCCCCTTGAATGACGATTGTATCATGCCTCGTTAAAACCTTAATAGGTAAAACCTCATGGGAAAAACCATTTATTAAGGAAAAAGAGTACATGATTAATAATAGATATTTGGAACAATTGCCTCGTTAAAAACCTTGCTAAGAAAACCCAGTGGGAAAAACATAGCTAAGGAAAAGAGTACAATATGTTTCCAACTCCCCCTGATCATCACATCACTTGATTTCCTTAAAGCGTCGCATTCCAATATTTCGTACCATGTTTTCAAATTTGGATGTAGGGAGCGTTTTAGTGAACAAATCTGCCAAGTTGTTACTTGATTGAATTTTCTGGATGTTGATGCAACATTCTTTTTGAAGATCATGAGTAAAAAAAAACTTTGGTGATATATGTTTGGTTCTGTCTCCTTTGATAAAACCTTCCTTGAATTGGGCTATACAAGCCGCATTATCTTCATATAGTATGGTTGGAGCGTCCCTGTTACAAGTTAGACCACAACTCTCATGAATGTGATGAGTTAAATTTCTTAACCAAATACATTCACGGCTTGCCTCATGAATGGCTATAATCTCTGCATGGTTAGAAGAAGAAGCAACTAAAGTTTGTTTAACAGAACGCCAAGAGATTGCGGTACCTCTACAAGTGAATAAATAACCTGTTTAGGATCGAGCTTTGTGTGGATCAGACAAATATCCAGCATCTGCATAACCATTAACTCCGCATTTGATGAACTTGAATAATATAAGCCCATATCCACTGTACCTCGAAGATATCGAAGAATGTGTTTGACTCCATTCCAATGTCTTCTTGTTGGGCAAGAACTATATCTTGCTAATAAGTTTACAGCAAAAGATATATCAGGTCTCGTATTATTAGCAAGATGCATCAGTGCACCAATAGCACTAAGATATGGTACTTCGGGACCAAGAAGCTTTTCATGTTTTTCACAAGGCCGAAACTGGTCCTTTTTGGCATCTAAATGCCTTACTACCATCGGGGTACTCAATGGATGTAAGTTATCCATATAAATCTTTCTAAGCACCTTTTCTAGATAACTAGATTGATGTACAAAAACTCCATTTTTGGTGTGCTCAATTTGAAGACCCAAACAAAATTTTGTTTTACCAAGATATTTCATTTCAAAATTTTCTTTCAAACAAGAAGTGTCATTTTCCAATTCTCCAGGAGCTCCAATTATGTTCAAATCATCTACGTAAATAGCAATTATCACAAATTCTGATCCGGATCATTTTATGAATACACATGGGCTTAATGGATCATTTATATAACCCTCTTTTAAAAGAAATGTACTTAAACAATTGAACCACATTCGGCCAGATTGTTTCAATCCATACAAAGATTTATTTAATTTTACCAAATATACTTCACGAGAATTAGGAGTTTGTGCTTCTGGCACCTTAAACCCTTCTGGGATTTTCATATAAATATCATTTTCAAGTGAACCATATAAATAAGCGGTAAATACATCCATTAGACACATCTCCAGTTTTGCATATGTTGTTAAACTTATAAAATAATTGAATGTAATTGCATCAACTACCGGAGAATCTTTTTCTTCATAATCAATTTTGGGCTTTTGGGTAAAACCTTGTGCAACAAATATTGCTTTATATCTCACAACTTCATTCTTCTCGTTTCGTTTGCGCACAAATACCCATTCGTGTCCCACTGTTCTTACTAAGTTTGGTGTACGGACTACAGGTCCAAAAACTTTTCGTTGAGTAATAGAATTAAGCTCTTTATTTATTTCATCTTTCCATTTTGGCCAATATTTCTCTTCATACATTACTCAATATATTTATGTTCAAGATCCTCATTTTCTTTATAATCGCGCGCGGAACATGATATGAAAAATTATCGTCGACTTCTGTCTTATGAAAAATTATCGTCGACATTTCATCATTTTCATTTTTTTCCAGGTACCTTATATTCTTTTGTTATGTCATTAGGCTCTTCTAGAGCTTCATTAATCTTTTCAAGAGATTATGTTTTCTCTTTTGGACCATCAATTGTATTTGCTTCATTTCATTTTCGAGGATTTTTATCTTTGGAACCGGTTGATCTTCCACGCTTCAGGCGTGCCTAAGATTCATTTGCAGATGTATTTTTTTTCTTCCTTCTGGGATATCAATTATAACTTGAGTAAGTATAGCTGGTACATGAGATTTTTTGCCCACTTAGGGTCAGTAAATGCTTCTGGCAATTGATTTGCTACATTTTGTAAAGGAATTATCTTTTTTATTTCAAGTTTACATGGACTTGAATGAGGATCTAAAACTGAAAGTGACAATTCCTTTCAAGAGATTTTATTTTCCAACTTCTTTATTTCTCCCCCTAATGTTGGAAAATATGATTCATCAAAATAATAATCATCAAATATAGCTGTAAATAAATCTCCAATTGATGATTTTAAATATTTTACTATAGATGGAGATTCCTATCCAACATAAATTTCAATTCTTCTTTGAGGACCCATTTTTGTGCGGTGAGGTGGAGAAATGGGTACATAAATTACACATCCGAACGTCCTTATATGGGAAATATTTGGTACATGGCTGCAAACCAGTTGAATAGGGGAGAACTTATGATAACTAGTTGGCCTGATGTGTAATGCCGCATGTAAAATTGCATGTCCCCATTTCAGTTTAGGAAGTTTAAAATGCATTAGTAATGGTCTTGAAATTAATTGAAGACGTTTGATTAACGACTCAGCTAAACCATTTTGTGTATGAACATATGCAACAGGATGTTCAATAGTTATCTCAATCAACATGCAATAGTCATTAAAAGCTTGTGATGTAAATTCTTCAACATTGTCAAGTCGAATTTTCTTAATTGGTTAATCGGAAAATGTGCCCTTAGGCGGATTATTTGTGCTAGTAATCTTGCGAAAGCGAGATTACGGCTAGATAACAAGCACACGTGTGACCATCTAGTTGACGCGTCAATTAAGACCATACAATATCTAAATGGTCCACGTGGTGGATGAATTGGTCCATATATATCCTCTTGAATTCTTTGTAAGAAACTAAGACTTTCATACCCAACTTTGTTCAATGATGGACTGGAAATTAATTTTCCTTGAGAGCATGCTACACAATTCATTATCTTGAAAAATCTTCTGGTTTTTCAAGGAATGACCACTTGAAGTTTCATTTATTCTACATACCATAATTAATCCGGGATGGCCCAACCAGTCATGCCAAACTATTAAGGTAACATCATACCTTTTTTATTTTCAATAACATGAATCATTGTAATATTTTCAATAGCATGAATCATTGTAATATTTGTATAGTATAATCCAGAGGATAATACATGTAATTTTTCCAAAAAACTTTTCTTATCCGATATCATTTTTGTAATATTGAGATACTCTTTATCACCATCATTGGTTGTTTCAACATGATATCCGTTGGACCGAATATCTTTAAAACTTAATAAATTTCTTGGTGATTTTGATGAAAATAATCATCTCCAATTGTAATTATTGTCCCTTGTGGTAATATGATATTCGCTCTTCCGGAGCCTTCAATCATTTTTGCACTACCCGTTATTGTATTAACATTTGATTCTCTAATTGATAAGTAAACAAAATATTTTTCATTATTAAAAATGCTATGTGTTATTGCATTGTCTGCAAGAAATATATCTTTATTATTTCTTTTGCGAATATCCATGTTTCTTTTCAGTAAATAAATAAAACATAAGAAACATTCGACTTAGAGAAATAAATTCATATTTTATTAATTTGGGAAGATTGTGACAACATCATTTCTAATGAAACGAATATGACATCAAAACATAATAAATGCCATGAAACAAAACTACACATTTATTCTGATCAATCACCATCCATATCACCACTTGTCCCTTCTGGGTATACAAGAAAATCGACAACATCCAAATGTGTCATTTCTGGTTGATCTTCATGGATATCACTTTGAATAAAAAAAATTTCGATATTTTTCTTTATATTTTAGAGAATCTTGATAAAGATCAACAAAATGCTTTGGTAAGCGGCATGTACAAGACTAATGATCGGTCATTCCACATTAGTGATAAACATTTTCAACCTTTTTTTTTTGCTTGACCACTTTTATCATTAGGATGTGGATTTTTGTTATTTTTCAACTTATGGTGGTTACTTGTAATATTGTTATTTTTATCATGATTATGATAACCTCCATGACCTCGGTTAGACCCATGACTATTATATGATGTTGCATTCACTTCAGGGAATGCACTAGAACTGGTCACGATTAATTGGTGATTTTTCATCAATAACTCATTTTCTTGTTTAGACACAAGTAGATATGAGATTAATTCATATTTATTTTAAACCTTTCTCATGATATTGCTACTGCAGGAGCATGTTAGTACCATGAAAACTAGAGAAAGTTTTCTCTAGCATTGTTTTCCATAATGAAAATAGAAATCAAAATAAAGACTTGTATGTTAAGGAATTGTTAGTTAAGAAATTCCATAAAATAAGTTGTAAGCATTGTACATGTAAAATTATAAAAAATACATACCTGAAAATGACAAGAACAATAAGGAGTTATAGCTCTATGGTAGAGTCGTGCTGATAACGTGTTATAAAATATGATCAAATAACAATATAAATTATAAAGTAAAGAAAGACATGAGAGTGGAGAGAACTTTTATTCTAATAGTTGTGATGAAATCATCAAGTGTCTAAACATATGGCTCACTATTTATACTATCCAAATAAGATGAAAGATGAGCTATAATATGAATGCACATTATGATGGTGTATTATTACATTCATAAAACACATTGAAATGGTTGTTACTAATGCTAAATAATGATGGGGAGTTACGGGAGAAATGAAGAATCCAATGGTCATTCACAAACTAATATTTCATAACAGTAAATTAATATTAGGTGGGTTTCGTTATTTTCTTTTTTAATATTTAAATACTCTTTTAACTTCATCACCATCAACGGTGGTGATGCCGCCTACCACTAACTTATTTCGGCAACCAATTTTCCGATTAACAAACCCAAACAAAAAAACAAATCTTAATGAATCCAAAATGAGACCTAAAATTCTAAGGGGTGTTTGGATAGGAAAAAAAGAGGTGCTTATTGCTTATTCCCACAATAAGCTAATTTAAGTGTTTGGATAAAATCCAGCTTATTAGGCTAAATAAGCTAATTTTAATAAGCATTCATTCCCATGCTTATTGCTTATTGCTTATTCCCACCACAAATAAGCTATAAGCAATAAGCAATAAGCAAAAAATCTAATCCAAACACCCCCTAAATAGAAAAAAAAACCAAAAACAAATCTAACTTGAAACTACTAAACTAGTATAAATGATCGATGATTTATGCCATCATGGCCGAACTAAAAACGGGTTGATCGAGACAAAGAAGTTGAGCATATTTAATCAGAAATAGACGAAAAAAAGAGGGCAAAAATAAATTTGGGATGAACGATTTTTACAGGGGCTTCATATATAGAATATGTATAGCTTTATTGTTGTTATCAAATTCAGGTTCTTAGTGAATTGTATATATAGATTATAGAATATGTATAGCATTATTGTTGTTATCAAATTCAGGTTCTTAGTGAATTGTGACTGCTTCGGCTCCATTTTTGTGTGAATCTATTTATTATGGTCTCCGGAGACGAGACGGTATGGGCACTTCTCATGCTCGTTATGTTGACGTGGAGCGTCATAACGGTGTGACAACAAATACAAATATGAGTATTACCTTACAGACGAAATATATCTTCAGTATTCCACATTCGTGAAGGCATTCCGATACCTGTTTGAAGAAGGAGACAAATTTTTTAAGAGAAGACAAAAATGAGCACGTAAGGATGTGGAACGTGCTTTTGGAGTGCTGAAGGCGAAACGACATATAGTTGAATATGCATCACGACCATTGGATTTAGAAACTTTACGATATATCATATATGCATGTATCATAATGCATAACATGGTAGTAGAAAATAAATGACGAAATATTGCACACTATATCCCAACGGAGTCCAAACACGTTTAATTTCAACCAAGAATAGCAGAGTATTTGCATCAAGTCGTTGACATTCAGGATGTAAATAAACACATACAACTTTGAGAGAACTTGGTGGATTATATCTTCTATAGTAACTATAACGATAACGAATAGCGTTGTAATTTTTGTTTTTAATTTGGATGTTATGTGTAATTTAATTTCTATGTTATTTTTAATTTTAAAATATTATTTTTATTCTAAGTTATTTATAATTTTTAAATATTATGTTTTATTTATTATGTTATATTTAAAATATATTTGTTTAAATTAAAAAAAAGAAATTCAAAAAAATAAAATAAAAAAGAAATTATAAAGTGGAAAAATGTTGGTGTTATAACAAGATGTAACGATTTCCCAATTTGATGTTATAACACCATTGGTGATGTGATATATGAAGTGCCCTTAAAATGGTATTATGATTAGTTACCCACACTCACTCTTAAATTTCATTTGAGATTACTTAGTTGTACAATCAGAATTTAAGATTCTCATTCAAACATGTACCCGACTCCGATTTTTGAAAAGAACAATCGATGATGGAAACTAATAGGGGACGACTTAATTACCTATAGGGAGGCGGTGAGATGTAGAACGGCTCACCGGAATTGACAGATGGAAGGAGGCAATTAGAGATTTAAGGAAGGAAGAAACATATAGAACGACTCACTGAAAATGACAAATGTAAGGAAGATGTAGGGCTGCCGGATTGAGAAAAGGGTTTAAGGAGGAACCCAGGAAGAAGATGAAAGAGAGATATGCACGAGTTACTTGAGGGAACAGAGGAGTTAATAATTTTCTTTTTCTTTGTTTTTTAATTAAACCTAAAATTAATATGTAAATATTTTCTAAACTACCATTAGTTGATAAATATGATAAATATTTTTTTCAATCACAAGTCTCCATAATTATATTTTTACACTGTGTTTAGCATAATATAAAAAATATTTTCTTAAAAAAAAATCACTGGTTAATTTCTCTAGATGATTAATGATTGTTATTTGAAGTTAATTTTTTTAATTAATGGAAATTTGTTATATTAATTAAATATTTGATACCCGGATTTATTGTTTAATTCCAGCTTCGTCTCTTTCCCCAATCCCCCCTTTCCCTTCTTTTTGAACATGATACATGCCCATCGGCAATACATATACATCATTAAATCACAGACTTACGTTTCATGTGATCAAAACCCATGGCCGATACAAGTCAAACGGAAACGGTGTCTTCCGAATGGGACGATCTAACGGGGAAGGTAGTGTTGGTGACCGGAGCGTCATCTGGAATCGGCCGGAGCTTCTGTGTAGATCTGGCGAACGCCGGTTGCAAAGTGATCGCGGCAGCACGCCGGGTAGATCGGCTGATATCTCTCTGCGATGAGATAAACGGAAAAGATCTCATCGATGACGTTCGGGCAGTGGCCGTGGAACTTGACGTCGCTGCTGAAGGTCCCGTGATAGAAGCCTCCGTCAAAAAAGCATGGGACGCATTTGGGCGCATTGATTGTTTGATTAACAACGCTGGGGTTAGAGGTGCGTAATAACAAAGAATTAATCGATTCAAGAGGCCATGATTGAATAAACTAGTTTGGTTTCTAATCTTGATAAGTTTATCCTATATATATCGACTGAATATGTTACTTCAAATAGAGCTTTCATGATTATGATTATTTTCAGGAAACGTGCTGTCTCCATTGGAGTTGTCTGAAGAAGAATGGAACAGCACCATGAGAACAAACTTAACAGGAACATGGTTGGTAGCTAAGTACGTGGGTAGATATATGTGTGATGCTAAACATAAACATAAACATGGAGGATCAATCATCAATATCTCATCTATTTCTAGTCTTCCTCGTGGAGAATTACCAGGAGGTCTGGCTTATGTGTCTTCAAAGGCAGGCGTTGTCACATTGACCAAGGTAATTAATTAACCTTTAATTCAACTTTTATAGATACCCTAACAACCCATAAACATCCTATTAGTATTTTCTACTAAATAAACACTCTATTAAATCTCAAACAGTATGGAGCTCATTGTGTAGCAAAAACAATCCATGTGCTCCATTTTTTAACATGGTAGCCACCCCTACAATCCAACTTTTTAAAATGTGAATTCACACAATTTTACATTTAATTAATCTTTTTTTAATTTTATTTCATTATAGTTTTCTTTATATTATTTTTCATCTTTAATTAAATTAAATGTTGTGTAGATCCGTTAAATAAATTTAAATTTTAATTAGATGTTTAAATATAATATTGTAATATATTAAGCAGTTTACTTATATTAGAAAATTAATTATGATATATATATATATATATATATATATATATATATATATATATATATATATATATATATATATATATATATATAAAGTTATAAACATAAATAAATATTAAGAAAGAATGAGAAAAGACAAAATAGAGGAGAGGGGTGGTTAATCAAAGGAAAGAGGGGTACATCAACCCCCTTTTTACATCTAATTAATTTTTTTTTCCAGTTAATAACATCATTCCAATAATAATATAATAACATGGTTCTAATAATATACATTATATATTCTTTTAATAAAGTTATATTTATTAAAAGCAAAAACAAAAAAATATATATTAATTAAAAGTTAAAACGTATGTTTTAGAAGATTGCGTTATTTTAATAAAATTATATTTGTTAAAAACAAAAACAAAAAATATATATTAATTAATGGATATTCATTAAAAGTTAAAAAGTATGTTTTAGAGATTAGGTTTTTTTAATAAAATTATATTTATTAAAAACAAAAAGAAAAAAAATATTAATTAATAGATATTAATTAAAAGTTAAAAAGCAATTACTATTTATTTATTAGCTAATAATTACATTTGCCTAATCATAATAAAAAGTAACTTTATTAATCATTAAAGGTGTTTTCTTTTAGTATATGTTGTTTTTTTTTTTAGTATTTAGGAGTGTTTATTTAGCCGTTCCCTATAATTATATTATATATGATGATGATATTTATGTATATTAATTGAACAGGTTATGGCTATGGAAATGGGTATGTACAACATCAGGGTGAAGTCGATTAATCCGGGGATTTTTAGGTCTGAAATCACAGAAAGTTTACTGAGGAAGAAGTGACTGAATCAAGTAGTTGAAAAGATTGTCCCCTTAGGAACATTTGGGACTACTGATCCAGGGTTGACAAGTCTAGTAAGGTATTTGATCCATGATTCATCCACGTACGTCACTGGAAATACGTTCATTGTGGATGCTGGTACCACCTTACCAGGTGTCCCACTTTTTTCTTCACTTTAGAATTCAGATAAACCCACACATTCTTGTACATCAACTTTCAAGTCGGATACATTTTTAATTTGCATGCACGGCGGAACACCACCAATAAAATTAGGGATGCCAAAATGAAAACTCCAAAAATAAGAAGCCTATATATATATATATATATATATATATATATATATATATATATACACACACACACACACTAGTTTATAACCCGTGGAATCATGGTTACAAGATTAATTAAAATTTCTAAGTAAAAACTCAAAAATATTAATTAATTATTTTAAATAACTTATTAATTAATTTAATGTAATTAAATGAAAATTTAAAATTTGAAATGAAGAATCATTAAATTGACAAGTGTCATGATATTAATTACAAGTCTTAACATAATGACACATGACAAAAGAGCTACTCTTTCATTAATATATATATATATATGGAGGGAAATGATCAAATGAGAACACCTAAAAGGTTGAAAACGCGAGAACAAGTATATTCATTTGCGATTCCATGTATTCATTTTTGGAGAAGTGATAAATTTTTATGCACAATCAACATGAATAGGCATTTTCTATTCAATTGAAATTAAAGGCGTAAAAGTTTATCATTTCTCCACAAATGAATACATGGAATCGCAAATGAATATACTTTGTTCTCGCGTTCTCAACCTTTTTGGTGTTCTCATTTGATCCTACTCCTATATATATATATATATATATATATATATATATATATATATATATATATATATATATATATATAAGATCAAATATGAATCTCAAGTACTGTGTGATTGTATGAATGTGTGATCAAAGTCTACCATTAGATTAAAACAATGGATGATTGATATTAGGGAGCATGGAATAAACATAGGATATCATTACTATATAATTATAATTAATTAATTCTATAGTTATTAAAAACTAAATATGACATTTATTGATAGGGAGAGAGAGAGAAACAAAATTTTCATTTGGAAATCAACTAAAATCTATTAATAAAATCTTATTATTACATTTAAAAAACTAAATCATTTGTTAGAAAATCCGTATTAAAGAATATGTAATATTATTTTTATAGAATAATCACAAAATCGTTGAAATATATTTCATTTTTTAAGAAAATTTCAATTGCATGAAATTAATTTCTTTCTTTAACAATTAGATGATTTCATTCGCGATTATACAAAAATGCTAGCAATATTTTTATATAGTAATTACAAAACATGAAATTAAAGAATTAGATGTTTTTTTTTCTTTAAAAATCAAGCATTTATTGGAACTGATATCATTCCTTAAGAATCATAGTTTATTCTATAAGAATACATTGATTGATAAATGTTTTTAAATTAATGTCATAAAACAATTAATTAACCTTTAATTCAACTTTTATAGATACCCTAACAACCCATAAACACCCTATTAGTATTTTCTACTAAATAAACACTCTATTAAATCTCAAACAGTATGGAGCTCATTGTGTAGCAAAAACAATCCATGTGCTCCATTTTTTAACATGGTAGCCACCCCTACAATCCAACTTTTTAAAATGTGAATTCACACAATTTTACATTTAATTAATCTTTTTTTAATTTTATTTCATTATAGTTTTCTTTATATTATTTTTCATCTTTAATTAAATTAAATGTTGTGTAGATCCGTTAAATAAATTTAAATTTTAATTAGATGTTTAAATATAATATTGTAATATATTAAGCAGTTTACTTATATTAGAAAATTAATTATATATATATATATATATATATATATATATATATATATATATATATATAAAGTTATAAACATAAATAAATATTAAGAAAGAATGAGAAAAGACAAAATAGAGGAGAGGGGTGGTTAATCAAAGGAAAGAGGGGTACATCAACCCCCTTTTTACATCTAATTAATTTTTTTTTCCAGTTAATAACATCATTCCAATAATAATATAATAACATGGTTCTAATAATATACATTATATATTCTTTTAATAAAGTTATATTTATTAAAAGCAAAAACAAAAAATATATATTAATTAAAAGTTAAAACGTATGTTTTAGAAGATTGCGTTATTTTAATAAAATTATATTTGTTAAAAACAAAAACAAAAAATATATATTAATTAATGGATATTCATTAAAAGTTAAAAAGTATGTTTTAGAGATTAGGTTTTTTTAATAAAATTATATTTATTAAAAACAAAAAGAAAAAAAATATTAATTAATAGATATTAATTAAAAGTTAAAAAGCAATTACTATTTATTTATTAGCTAATAATTACATTTGCCTAATCATAATAAAAAAGTAACTTTATTAATCATTAAAGGTGTTTTCTTTTAGTGTATGTTGTTTTTTTTTTTTAGTATTTAGGAGTGTTTATTTAGCCGTTCCCTATAATTATATTATATATGATGATGATATTTATGTATATTAATTGAACAGGTTATGGCTATGGAAATGGGTATGTACAACATCAGGGTGAACTCGATTAATCCAGGGATTTTTAGGTCTGAAATCACAGAAAGTTTACTGAGGAAGAAGTGACTGAATCAAGTAGTTGAAAAGATTGTCCCCTTAGGAACATTTGGGACTACTGATCCAGGGTTGACAAGTCTAGTAAGGTATTTGATCCATGATTCATCCACGTACGTCACTGGAAATACGTTCATTGTGGATGCTGGTACTACCTTACCAGGTGTCCCACTTTTTTCTTCACTTTAGAATTCAGATAAACCCACACATTCTTGTACATCAACTTTCAAGTCGGATACATTTTTAATTTGCATGCACGGCGGAACACCACCAATAAAATTAGGGATGCCAAAATGAAAACTCCAAAAATAAGAAGCCTATATATATATATATATATATATATATATATATATATATATATATATATATACACACACACTAGTTTATAACCTGTGGAATCATGGTTACAAGATTAATTAAAATTTCTAAGTAAAAACTCAAAAATATTAATTAATTATTTTAAATAACTTATTAATTAGTTTAATGTAATTAAATGAAAATTTAAAATTTGAAATGAAGAATCATTAAATTGACAAGTGTCATGATATTAATAACAAGTCTTAACATAATGACACATGACAAAAGAGCTACTCTTTCATTAATATATATATATATATATATATATATATATATATATATATATATATATATATATATATATATATATATATATATATATATATATATATATATATATATATGGAGGGAAATGATCAAATGAGAACACCTAAAAGGTTGAAAACGCGAGAACAAGTATATTCATTTGCGATTCCATGTATTCATTTTTGGAGAAGTGATAAATTTTTATGCACAATCAACATGAATAGGCATTTTCTATTCAATTGAAATTAAAGGCGTAAAAGTTTATCATTTCTCCACAAATGAATACATGGAATCGCAAATGAATATACTTTGTTCTCGCGTTCTCAACCTTTTTGGTGTTCTCATTTGATCCTACTCCTATATATATATATATATATATATATATATATATATATATATATATATATATATATATATATATATATATATATATATAAGATCAAATATGAATCTCAAGTACTGTGTGATTGTATGAATGTGTGATCAAAGTCTACCATTAGATTAAAACAATGGATGATTGATATTAGGGAGCATGGTATAAACATAGGATATCATTACTATATAATTATAATTAATTAATTCTATAGTTATTAAAAACTAAATATGACATTTATTGATAGGGAGAGAGAGAGAGAAACAAAATTTTCATTTGGAAATCAACTAAAATCTATTAATAAAATCTTATTATTACATTTAAAAAACTAAATCATTTGTTAGAAAATCCGTATTAAAGAATATGTAATATTATTTTTATAGAATAATCACAAAATCGTTGAAATATATTTCATTTTTTAAGAAAATTTCAATTGCATGAAATTAATTTCTTTCTTTAACAATTAGATGATTTCATTCGCGATTATACAAAAATGCTAGCAATATTTTTATATAGTAATTACAAAACATGAAATTAAAGAATTAGATGTTTTTTTTTCTTTAAAAATCAAGCATTTATTGGAACTGATATCATTCCTTAAGAATCATAGTTTATTCTATAAGAATACATTGATTGATAAATGTTTTTAAATTAATGTCATAAAACAATTAATTAACCTTTAATTCAACTTTTATAGATACCCTAACAACCCATAAACACCCTATTAGTATTTTCTACTAAATAAACACTCTATTAAATCTCAAACAGTATGGAGCTCATTGTGTAGCAAAAACAATCCATGTGCTCCATTTTTTAACATGGTAGCCACCCCTACAATCCAACTTTTTAAAATGTGAATTCACACAATTTTACATTTAATTAATCTTTTTTTTAATTTTATTTCATTATAGTTTTCTTTATATTATTTTTCATCTTTAATTAAATTAAATGTTGTGTAGATCCGTTAAATAAATTTAAATTTTAATTAGATGTTTAAATATAATATTGTAATATATTAAGCAGTTTACTTATATTAGAAAATTAATTATATATATATATATATATATATATATATATATATATATATATATATATATAAAGTTATAAACATAAATAAATATTAAGAAAGAATGAGAAAAGACAAAATAGAGGAGAGGGGTGGTTAATCAAAGGAAAGAGGGGTACATCAACCCCCTTTTTACATCTAATTAATTTTTTTTTCCAGTTAATAACATCATTCCAATAATAATATAATAACATGGTTCTAATAATATACATTATATATTCTTTTAATAAAGTTATATTTATTAAAAGCAAAAACAAAAAATATATATTAATTAAAAGTTAAAACGTATGTTTTAGAAGATTGCGTTATTTTAATAAAATTATATTTGTTAAAAACAAAAACA